CCCCAATCAAGGTATAGATCATAAGAGCAGGAAGGTAAAATTGAAGTTGTATAGCTGGAGTACGGTGTGCATTTCTTATCACCACACTGTAGGAAGGATGTGATTGCACTGGAGCGGGTGCAGAGGAGATTTGCCAAGACATTGCCTGGAATGGACCATTCCAGCAATGAAGAGAGGCTGGATAAGCTCGGGTTGTTTTCTTTAGAGCAGTCAAGGCTGAGGGGGTTATCTGATAGAGGTGGATAAGATTATGAGGGGCATAGACAGGGTGGATATAAATCAGCTGGTTCCCATAGTTAAGGGGTCAATAACAAGGGGGCAAAATTTTAAAGCAAAAGGCAGGAGGTTTAGAGGCGATTTGAGGAAATGAGTTTTTCAACTAGGGAGTGATAGATCTGGAATGCACTGTCTGGGAGCGTAGTTGAGGCAGGAAACCTCACAATGGAGTTTGTTTTCCTTAAAGCAGAGAAGGCTGAGAGGGATCTTATTGAGATGCATAAAATTCAAAGCTGCATAGTCAGGGTAGATAGGGAGAAACTTTTCCCCTTAGTAAAGGGGTCAATAACTAGGGGGACAGGTTTAAGGTAAGGTGCAGGAGGCTTAGAGAGGAATTGAAGAATCATTGTTTTCACCCAGAGGATGGAGAGTTTCTGGAACTCACTGCCTGTAAGGGCAGTGGAGGCAGAAACCCTGAAGATATTCTTAAAAATATTTAGATGAGCACTTGAAACACCACAGCATACAAGGCTACGGGCCAATTGCTGGAAACTGGGACTGAAATGCACAGATACTTGATGATCAGCGTGGACACAATGAGCCAAAGGACGTCTTTCTGTGCTGTAAAGACTGTATAACACCTATAATATTCCTTTACTCTCTGCAAATAACTCACACTTTCCTCAATCCCCCAATCCTCTGCTCCCTCACACTATTCCAACTCCCTTATTCTCACACACTCTCTATCCCATACTCCCGTATTATGCCATTTCCCCACACTTTCTCTGTTCCTCTCTCTCTCTATTCACATTCTCTGTGTCCCACATTCTCTTTATATCACACTTTTTCTATTGTCACTCACTCTGCTGTTCTCCCTCTGCTTCCCTCCCTCACCCACTCCCATGCCTCATTCACTCCCTCAATCCTTTCATCACTTCTCTCCCTCAGTTCCCCACTTCTTATTTTATTCATTCATGGGATGAGGGCATTGCTCGCTAGGCCAGTATTTATTGCCCATCCGTAAATACCCAGAGGACAGTTAAGAATCAACCACATAAAGGTTAGACCATATAAGGATGGCAGTTTCCTTCCCCAAAGGGCATTAGTGAACCAGATGGGTTTTTCTAACAATCAGCAATGGATTCA